ACGAAGCCGTGGTGAGGCCGAGACCTATCGTCGTGACGAGGTTGGGCGCCATCCACGAGGGCAGGAAAACCAGGCACGTCTCCGCGAGAGGGCTGAGGATGTACTTGTACAAAAGGGAGCGGTCGGACCCATGGTACTGATACCTGAACAAGGAGAGGAGGGGGGGAGGGAGAGCGTACTCGTGTATTGCATGCGTTATCGGTTACATCTTTGGGTTAGGGGGTACGGAGGGCGAGTATTACAACAGGAGCGCGCATTGCAGAAGATTGAAGAGACGGAGGCGTTGAAGTCTGGGTTTTGTACGGAGAGGAAAAATATGTACCGATTGGCCAATCAGAAGGTAGCAAAATTGGGAGGATCGGAATTGAGACAACGGTTTGTCGTGAGTGCAGTTCCTGGTCTGTCCCAAAACAAGCAATAGAGCATGAGTCTACTGGGAATTCGGAGATTAACTCCTTTCACATACGTGACTTGTGCAAGTTTTCTTCTCTCGCTTTGGAGGGGGGTATTGTCCATAGTATCGAAAATGGTTGTGCCTGCCACGCCACACCGACACTCAACCGTGAGCTTGTTTTATAGAAGTAAATGCGACTCGTCCGTCCGTCACGGTTGTGAATCAAAATCCAACACTTGACGTTCACGGTTATGTTAATGTTGTACCGTGATCGCTGGAGTTGGACTTGTACCAAAAACGTTGTTTTGCGTTGCTGCAGAACGCCAGGCCTGCTGCCTGCGGGGGGCCATCGTCGAGCATGAAGGCGTATGCATATGTACAACTATTGTGGTGCCAAGATTATTTGCACACCCATCTGCTCTTCTCGTGCGCTGTTGCAGAACGAAAACATCCGCAAGTAACTTACCCCTCGATCACTTTTTGGAGAGGGCTTCGAACACTACGAACAGAGCTGGTGGTTGCAGCAACAGCAAGAGATTGGAGGATTTCAGACAAGCGGCTAGCAAGAAGTGCGGGGAAGTTGAGGTACTTCGTGGGACCATGAAGCTGCATGCTGCTGTTGTACATAGGACAGCATGACCGGCTTGTGGGTTAAGTTGCTGGTTCCTTCGAAGGCGTATGCACATGTACAACTATTGTGGTGCCAAGATTATTTGCACACCCATCTGCTCTTCTCGTGCGCTGTTGCAGAACGAAAACATCCGCAAGTAACTTACCCCTCGATCACTTTTTGGAGAGGGCTTCGAACACTACGAACAGAGCTGGTGGTTGCAGCAACAGCAAGAGATTGGAGGATTTCAGACAAGCGGCTAGCAAGAAGTGCGGGGAAGTTGAGGTACTTCGTGGGACCATGAAGCTGCATGCTGCTGTTGTACATAGGACAGCATGACCGGCTTGTGGGTTAAGTTGCTGGTTCCTTCGAAGGCGTATGCACATGTACAACTATTGTGGTGCCAAGATTATTTGCACACCCATCTGCTCTTCTCGTGCGCTGTTGCAGAACGAAAACATCCGCAGGTAATAGAGGGCTTCGAACACTACGAACAGAGCTGGTGGTTGCCAGAGATTGGAGGATTTCAGACAAGCGACTAGCAAAAGCGCGGGGAAGTTGAGGTACTTCGTAGGACCATGAAGCTGCATGCTGCTGTTGTACATAGGACAGCATGACCGGCTTGTGGATTAGGTTGCTGGTTCCTTCGGAGAGGGGAAATAATTAAGGCGAGAGCGAGCGGGAGATGGAGATGTTGAGGGCGCCAGACCAAGGAGGGAGCCTGGACATCTCTCACTGCCCACGATAATAAAAATGAAGGCAAGATAACCATCTCGTCTGCTGTCGTATGCACAACACTCCCCGTTTGCCGACACCCCGGAGCAGCAGAGTGAGAGCTTGCGGTGCCGACGTAAGCAGGAGCAGGAGTGATGCAAAACAATATTCGCTACCGGCTTTGCTGCAACTGCTCCACGCCCTGGGGTGCTTACGACCAGAGGGCCGGGGTGGCAAGGCCAGCCTGCATCGTAGGCACGCGAACGATACTGCGGGCAAACCCACCCATGCTTCGTTCCTACGCGTCGAATCCTGTCCTCAGTACTCATGAACAACTCTGTACTGCTGTTGCACCCATACCATTGCGGCGGGTGTCTGAGCTCTATCTTATGGCAGGGTTCTTTTTCAACAACTTGACCCGCCAGGTGCAAAACTTAATTCTCGTCTCACAGCTCACCGGCGCAGGTACTTCACCGCCCGTGGGGTGACGACACTCCCCCCTCTGAAATCCGACATTCCTCCAAGCCGCCCGTAACACACCAGCAGTACACGCACGCACTGCTGCTGCTGTTATGCCTTCTTTCGGAAACAAATCGCACGGGGTCCCTGCGAGCGGCGGCGGCGGCGGGGGGTAGGAGCGTAGTAGCTGTTGGGGTAACAAAAAGGAAAGAGGCGTGTTTTGAAACAGAAAAGAAGACTATTCCTTGTTCTCTAGCTATTGTTCTCTAATTGGCTCAAAAATCAATCCGAAGCAAGTCCTGTTGGACGAAGATCTCTTTCAAAGGTTGGTGGACGAGATGTAAGTGTCGGAGACTCCACCACCCCTGGTATCGCAAGAAAGCGAAGCAAGCTTAAAGTACGTGTTTGATGTGCCGCACGCCCGATCAAGCAGCAATACAGTAGTGGGGTGGATTTTCTTGACTGTCGAGAAGTTGGCGTGTGCTCGTCCTCCACCGGCTGGTGCTGCTGGTGCTGCGTTGAACGAAAGGATTGGCGATAACCGGGACACCTGGAGGCGACGTTGCTGGTTTTACCCGATATACGGGGAAAAATGTCGGAGAGTAAAGATGGTGGTGGCAGCAGCGGTGGTGGTGGTCGAGCATCTTACTTGGACGTGAGCGAGGACAAGATGTACGATTCACGGTTGCGGGGGGACTACGAGCTGCACGACTATGCGCACTCTCCCTCTAACCAGCGACTAAAGGTGCGGCACCTGTAATATATCAACGGGCCAGAGTGCGGATATTAAGGTACTGGGGAGGGATCGGAACGATTTTTAATGTGAACACAACATCAACATCAACAACAACAACAACGACAACGTTGTACTCTCAAAAGTCAACCCCATCGAACGGCGATGGAGGTTGTCTGGCATCGGTTGAAGATATCAGCGTCCAGATTCAAACGTCGTCTCTGTTTGCTTGATATCGAGCGCTCTCTCCGCTTTAGGTTCAGAAAGCAAATCAACATGTGGTAATCTATCAACGTACTACAGCAGTAGTACAGCAGTATGCGATTGCCAATATCCCCTTTGAGTTCATTTTGCTTTGTAACCCCTTTAGACTAGGGCTAGATCGCCTTTTGGGGACACTTGTTGTCCCCATCTTCTTCACCCGCTTTACCTCGCGAAGAATGTCATGATTGTCTCCTCCTTTGAACTACTCGACCAGGGGGGTGGAAGTACACGGGGACGACTATAGTCTGGTATGGATGCTTTGTTGCTTTGTAGAGTGGAGGAGTATGAGGGTAATGAACAGGTCGAATCGCGGGGCGATTACGCCGCGGGTTCAACAGCGAAGTTGCTCCGCGTCTGCCTACCCTTGGGTGGAAAGCGCTACAAGGGGCAAGCGCGGAAGAAGTACCTAGCCCACCGTTGATAGGAGGCACCGGGCAACCTAGGGCTTGGGTTAGAAGGTCTCACATTCCCTCTAGAGAAATATCTTGAGAACCTCCTTTTCGTGCAGACTATAATGCAAACTGCTGTTGTTCGCGCTCTCTAAGATTGCTGCAGATGGCAACTAGACTTTCATCAGCAAGAACACGTCGAGCCTCAGCGCCAACGTAGGTACAGCAGTATGTTGTTGCAGCTGTATGCAATCAAGTCAACGTTCGACTCTCTTTTCCACGTAAGAAATTCAGCTCGAGGCTTGCGTACGGTTTGTCATGAGCGAGTACAGCCTATGTCTGCCGTAGTCTCGAGATCATGCCCCCCAAACTTCCAAATTGCGGTGATGGCTCTCTGTTCGGGTATAGTGTATGTATTATAGTGCAAGTAACGGCATTGATGTAGATGTGACACGCCGTTCAGAGTTGTACTTTGCCGCACACCGCTTCTTATATGCTTGTTTCGCCCCTCGGCCATGTACGAGTATGACCAGCAAAGCGTCAATAGTTGGGAGTAAACATCAGCAGTAGTCTATGCACCATGGATAGGATTATATTCGTCAACAGCAGCATTCCCACTGCTGTTTCTAGTGTTCGTACGATGTATCAGGTCACTCGTTCATAGAAGACATTTTGCTACATTCCAGCGACACACACACCTGATATGTATCTTTTGTCCCGATAGGAACAGAGGGAATCTAAGGGAGGTGACAGCATTGCCGACAGGGTGCTCGGAGCGAGGCTTCACCCGGGCCTCACTATCAGCGAAAACTCGGCGGAGGTTTTTGTCACCCGATTCGCTCCGGAAGGAAAGTAAGATATCGATAGGTCGCGCACGTTCAATTGCAATCCTTCCACCGAAACAGTAAAGACAGACATGCTGAGTTCAAAAACGGTGCACGTACACGGATAATTAAGTTTGTCTAAGGGCTGCTTGCCCTGAACGTTCAAGTAGTATTTCGGCCGAGGCATAGTTATGCTATGCTCAAAGGAGGTTTCATTCTTGCGACCTCGGGCGAGGGCGTGTTAATCGGCCATGTAGCCCCGGTTGTATAGATATCGTATGCTTTGACACTGCAAAAGTGGTTTGCATCCTGTAAAACGCAGCCTGCTTTGTATCGACTCGAACTGCTACACAATACATGAAATGGTGCGGGATAGACAGACAGCCCGCAGTTACGCTGACGATGAACGACGAGTCGTTGGGACCACTCTCTTCCGACACCCTAGAACCACCGAACGTAGAGAGCGTGGTCCTCGATGACCTCAGATGCAGCGCCTCGTCTTCATGTTGCAACGTTTGCATGGCCACGCACCCTTAGCCCGTGCTCCACAAACGAACGCTGTCTTGTTCTTCCTCCAAGTTCGGCTTTCTTTGCTGCCGCTGCACCTTGTTCGATGAAACACCACGCTGTGTGCTGTGCCGAAACATCCACTGACTGCCCTGGGCGAAGCCTTTTGGCAGCGGCATGCGGCGACGGAACGATCCGCATCTTCCACGTGTCCACCGGACGCCTGGCATACAACTTGCAGAGCAGCTCGTCGCAGGTGATTAGACTATGCTCACAAAAAGTTTCCTGGGTTGAGACCTACCCCCGAGGAAAAATCAGCATGGTCACTCTCATGTCTAGTAAACGCCCTTGGGTTGCCTACATATGTTCGAAGGTACAGCATACCTGGTGTAGTACAGATCTAGTATGTGCTTGTTCGCCGTCATGGTGCCAGATCGGTGTTAGGGAATTTCCGTCATACGGCCTAGTACGTACTTCGAATGTCTTACAGCAGTCATGTACAAGGGCCTAGCATGAGGCGACAACGGCGGTGCTTTCCACGAAATATTGCGACCGGCCAATAGATTATATTCGGCGAGCAGTACAGCTACTTAATGTTGGCACTCACCGGGTGGGAGGTTTCTCCTAAAACCGATTTAGTGGCATAGGTGACAGCCACTGGTTTTTGACGAGCATCATCATTCGTTTAATTGCATGCCGGATGATTTCTCCCTTGATTACCGTCTGTCTTTGCATTCCTGTCTCTCGTGTTCCCTGCGGTCATGCTGCCTGTGTGCTCCCGATTGTAATTGACACGCTACGCGTTGCGCAGTCTCTACCGACCACGTCGCTGCGATTCAGGCCAGCCATAGCTCAGAGTAAGACGAGGAACGTCCTGGTGTCTTGCAACGCTGGGGGAGAGATCCAGCACTGGCATATCACCTCCGGTACGTTCATACGGTAGGACAACAGCGCTTACAAGATGTCTGGTTCATTCCCCGCTCCTTGATCAAAACCTGAACTTACACACGCCTCTGCTGGAGACAAGAGAGCAATAGTTGGCCTGTTGGTGCAAAGTAGGAGAGGCGCCGAAGCGATTCTGGCTCAGGGTACTCTCACAGTACCAAGCGGCGCGAGAGGGCTGGAGAACGGAGGCACGTGTGTGCTAACGTGGCTTGATCGGTTGGTACAGCGGTTCAAATGACGCGCCCCTTGCTCCCCGCCGTTTTCCCTCCAAGTGTTCATGTCGGCCTTTTGTGCAACAACAATGTTTCCTTTCTACCTGTGAGTCAGGGAAGTGTCTGAGCACGATCAAGGAGGAAGATCAGTTCTATGCCCTCGACTATCGCAAAGACGGGAGCGTGTTCGCCGCCACCGGGAAGAATCACACGGTACGAACACCCCTTGACCGTGGCGGAATTGACGACCACGGGTGGTCGAGGTTTGACCCGAAATTTTGTTTGGGTTGGCAGAAAAGCCGAATTTGGTTGGTTTCGCCTAGTTCGCCGCCTCAACCTCAATGAAGCTAGCAACCACGTTCTAATCCAGTTGTGGATCCTCACCTCTGCTACGACGTTGATACTTGTCGACAAAGTCACGCGGCTGCCTTGTCGACAAAGTCACGCGGCTGTGTTTTCTCCTCAAGATATTACACAACGGGCAGGTTACGTTTTTTCCCGCGACTTGTGCACGGCTTACCAAACCGAACTTTGAACTGCAGGTACACATTTATGACGAGACGACGAAGCACGAGATTTCCCTGCTGCAGGGAGGCAGCGGCTACGGCTCGAGCTCGGCACCGGGCCACTCCAACCGAGTCTTCGCCGTCAAGTTCCACCCCGAAGATCCCGAGGTACGCGTTTTTTGGGGGCTACTTATTGTGGTTGATTACGCCTACCTGGACATTTCTATCCTTAGCAAATGTGTGCGAGGTGTGCTTCGGCCGCTTTCCCAAGTACCACGAACTTTGAACGATACTCTGCGGCCACACAAATCGGCCACGGAATCAATGATTTGACCAGCGCTAGATCGTTAGATGTGCGAACAAACGCCCGAAAGCATTAACACCGTCTCACAGCCGAGTCACACAACATTTTGATTCCAATCAACGAATCCAAATCTCGACCGACGACCAAAACCAAGGTGCTCCTGACTGCAGGGTGGGACAACACCGTCCAGTTCTGGGACATGAGGGTGGGACACTCGGTGAGGAGCATATTCGGCCCGCACATTAGTGGCGACTCGTTGGACATTTGCGGGAACGAGATTCTCACAGGGTCCTGGTGAGTGGTTCTCTTGCTTCTTCAAACTTCACTATTATTGTAATTGTTCGAAATCGCGCGTCGTCCAAACCGTGTGCATACTCGTATATCTGGGTCGCGTGCGTCTGCTTCACATATTTAATACACGAAGAGAAGAGGTTTGCATACACATCATTTGCAACAGAATATCGCCTTTGGGTTTGTACAGTTCGTGTGAGTTCCGCTTGCTTGTTTTGTCACTTTTGTATTGTTTCATTCCAGGGGGCATGTGCACAGAAACGGATGTGTGCGATGCGAGGCTGCTGAGTTTGGATATTCAGACGTGCGTTGGGTTGATGGCCGCGTATAGGTCGCGGGACTCACGCGCGCGTTATGTGTGTTGCAACGCCCGGGGCATACGATCGAATACACTCCTGTTGCGTCTTTTGTCCAGTTGCTCGCGACGAATCTGGAACGTGCGAGGATACCTTTGTTACGGTACCTGCGCTGGTCTCACCTATAGCTACTACACAGGGGGGTCGATACACCGGCACCAGATTGTGGAGAATTGGGTGTTGTTGGGGGTATAAATCACCGTTATGCCCCCCCGGCGACGCTCTGCAGGCGGCCAAACAACCCGCTCGAAATCTGGGACTACAGGACGGCAGAGCTGAAGGAGACCATCTCATGGAATCGGTCGTCCGCCCAGGTGACCACGCAAATAATGCAACGGGCTTAGAGCATTGAGCATCGAAGTCCTTGGGTTTCTATTTAGAAGGGCGTTTTCGTGGTTCGATACACCAAGGCAAACACACTCTGGGCCGCCGGTATTTGGGCTAGTGGGCGGGCAGACGACAGACCTAGGACGCGTATCAACACGTACAACAAGCAAACACTCAGCGTGCTGCCCTTAGATTCCTATGTTGATTTTGCCGGACTAGTTTAGGCCTGCGCCATTGCCCGGTGACCGCCGTGGCGAAATCGATACACGCGAAAAATCGTTGGTACGTGACATGTTGTCGGAGTGGGGGTTTTGACGTTGAGCGTTGTGTAAACCCTCTCGTAGATTCAGAGAGAGCGGGCAGGGGCCTCGATTCAACCTCTTCGCCGTCACAGCAGTAGTGGTCGGAACCCAGATCACAAAGTTGTCGTTCGCGTGTGTCTCTTTTTTGCCCACAGGGAGTACAACCGACGTTGTTGTACACGGCCCAGTTTAGCAACACCGCGGATGGAGGACGGTATATCGCAGCTGGGGGGAGTGGAGCGAACGAGGCCAAGGTGTGCTGAGAGTTCTTGCTTAGCTTCCCTCTTTCCCCGCGCAGCGGTGTATTTGTCGCCCAAGGGTTGGTTGTGTTTCTTTTTTTTCCTCGTTGAATTATCGACCTTTTCGAGAAGAGCGCATTTAACGGGCTTGCTCGGAGGGTGACCGCCGGTTTCGTGGTGCCCATAAGTTTTGGCACAATTCACGACTTCACGCTTTGCGACGACAAAATGTTGTGGTCCTTTCGCTCGTTCTTGCGTCGTTCATTGCCTTCACCTCTGTCTTTGGATTCCATGGGCCGACTTGGTCATCGATGTCGTGTGTCTCGTTCTCACGTCACTCGTCCCTCCCGCCCCCCTCCTCCCCCACTCTTTCCTGCAGATATTTGACCATACCGCCAACAACCAGCTCGTCGGGACGGTGACCGGCTTGCCTCGCGGGGTGTTTACAGTGGATTTCTCCCCTTCCCCAGATGTAAGACTCCATCGGGATTGGGGGTAGCGCACCGGGTTCGTGGTGTCGCCTCCTTTTCGGGGTAATGGAACCCAATCTTCGCCCTCGATGCATGCGTTACGTTTTGTGATTGAACCAGGCAAGCGCAGACATACTCGCATTCCACCAAACGGTAACGTATCATCATTTCAAAGTCGTCGATTCGGACAGCCGAATCCCTCAAACGTATGTGCTCCGCCGTCGATGCTTGTATGTACGCACGCCCCTCCGTCATTGCGTTCCGAACACAATAGGCGAAGAAGGTGGCGGTGGCAGGAGGGGACGCGTCGATTCGCATCATCGACATTGTCGAAGAGAAGACGGCTGACGTTTACTAACTAGTAGAGGGTTCAACCCCGTGTTTATTTCTGGTGTAATCACACTTATGGAATGGCACCTCCAGTTGCTGTCTCGCAGTTCTTGGCAGTTTTCCTTGGGAAATCTCCGCACCATGACGGACCGCGTGGTTGGTGTATTGTTGGAAAGTGATATTATCATTTTCAGTTTGCGGCTGGGGAATAGTCGAGGGAGCGCAAGGCGAACGGCATTCTTGATTGTGGAATAGCACATCCATGCAGACACACCGTGTTTTCACCAGCAAGCGTCAGAACTGTAGCAGCAAGATTTCAGCGACTGAAGTGCCCTTGAAAGAGTTTTCAACCGGGCGAGCAGCTGCGGGGCGCTTAAGGCATGAAGCAGTATTTCGGTGGGATCTGTGTTGCTATCTGTTGATGCTGCACAGCAGATTATTATAGTCGCCTGCCTCGAGGGGGGGGATCTGGTGTATGTGTTAACGCAAGTTTTTTCAGAGAGACGGCGCTTGTTGTTACACGCCATGATCAGGTGTTCTCGGACCGTTGTCAATCGTCCCCTTGCGTGGTTAATGTGTTCTCCGCAAAACGCGCTCTACGCTGCTGCTGTAGTTTGCCTTGTTCCAAGTACCACGGACACAGGGCTACCGCGTGTAGCGGGGCCTGGTGTGGGGACTTAGTGCGGGCTCAACCGTTCGCGGCAGAGAAGGGATGCCCCTCCTACTGTAGATTGACAGCATAGAATCCTACCAACCACACCTCGCGCATGGGTTTAAACCCTGACCTCTGCGAGGGGTATAGCCGCAAGTCGGGGCAGGATGATCGAGACATTTCTTGTACAAGTTGACGACCATATCTTGTACAAATCGACGACCATTTCTTGTACAAAATGACCGACATGCACAGGTGTTTGACAACCCAAAACACCCAACCAATTGACATCAATCGCAAATACAAGACGTGCTCCCGGTGGCACACGTCGAGTGCAAACGGCGTCGAATGTGTGCGGCAATCGCATTTCTTTAAGAGCAAGGGTGTTCGCTCGTACCCAAGGGAGTGTGAGGTACGAAAAGCAAGACATCATGCGCTGCATACCCCGCGCGATGAATATGAAGGGGTTTGAAACCATTTTACAAGCACGACAACGGTGATTGGGATAAGTCTAGAACCAACGATGGAAAAGAATGCGGTATAACCGTACAGCACCACTACTGCCGCCTGAATTTCACGTCTATCATTTTCACTAACACTAACAAGGCTACGAACGTCCATCCCCAAGAAATACAGACCCACTCGTACCTACCCTGACGCGTTTCAACTACCGCTCGACACACTCAGCGACACGACGGAGGAATTGTCAGAGCCGTCCTCCGTACATTGAGTACCTCCTCGTTGCACCTCCTTTGCTGTTGCCGCCTCTGGTGCCGCTAAACCAACCGGTTCAATCTCTCCCGCTGGCTTTTTTTCCGCGGCGGCACCGGCAACAGCAGCAGCAACAGGGGAGGCGACTCTCTCAATCCCTCGACTTTCGGTCGGTTCCTCTACTTCCTCTCCGGTGGTGACAACGGAACTTGTTGTTGCCACTTGTGCCACACCACCGGCGTTCTCCTCCTCACTCCTGCTGGCGCCACCCCTGCTGCTGCCGCCTGGACTCCATGAGAGGGCGTCGAAGTCGAGATCTTCCGATCCGTACTCCGACGCCGACGCGGCCACCGCCACCAGGGCGTGGCGCTCAGGAACGGGAGACAGACCGACGGCCGAAAACCCTAGCGATTCAGCCCCGCCCCCGGCGTGCGTACCGACGACGGTGGTCATCATCGCGTCCGCTGACGTGTCCGTGTCCATCGGCAGCGAGTCGACCAAGACGTCCACTGTTGGACCAAGGGAGGGTGGGTAAGCGGTGGCGGAAGACGGGGGCAAAGCGACGGCGCCTTCTCCACCCCCTTCCGCTTGTCGTGGCTGATGATCCTTTTCCTGTTGGCCTCGTTCCGTTACTTCCGACCGGGGTGTTGTCGGGGATGGCAGCGGTGACCGCGAACTCGTGCCTTCCGGTTGTAAATTGCCCCCTTCCCGGGAATGCAGTTTCTGGGAAAGATTGCCACCGGCAGCATCATCAGCAGTTTCACTATCTGCGGGGTCTTCCGACGGAAGACTTGTGGACGGCAGACCAGCCTCAACGAACGCAGATTCGGCGACATCCGGTTGATGGTTTTCGCCGTCAGCGTCGCTTAACCTAGCGTCAAGACCGTCAGCACTTGATGCTTGAGTCGACGATGGAGTCTCATCAACAACAGCAGAGGAGAACGGGGAGTCGAGTTCATCACCAGCTCGGAATGTCGGGGAAGACGATTCTGCCGCCACCGCCGGTGCTTGTTGCGACGGGATAATAGAGCCATCACCAGAGCCGCAGCGATTGACTAGCACCGCTCCCGGGCCGTCACCTCTCTTTCCTACGTCCGGCTGCCCCTGAGCTTTTTCTTCAAGGGTGTTCGGCTGGCCTTGTACTTGCATCGCAGGCAACCCGTCGGCGTTGCTGGTTATATTTCCGGAGGAAAGCCGTCTCCTGACGGCCTTCTGGATCGTTCTGGCGCTGCGGTCGCTCCTCGTTGCCGCCTCTGCCAAGTCAAATTCTGAGGACACGGCCAGAGTCTCCTCTTCTCCTTGCCTCGCGGTCCCACGACAGACACCAACGCCTGTCAATTCTGGATCGGGCTCCGCCTCTTGCTGCTGACGTAGGTCGGCATTCTCCGAAATCTCATGCCGGTTGACCGCAGCAGGGTTTCTCCGGGCACGACGACGACAAACGAAAGCTTGGATTTTCAACGTGGCGGCCATCTTTCTGGCGTGCAACTCGCGAGGCAGCTCTTCCACCTGGCGTGACGCAAGACCTTCCCGCACAGTGGTCTGTATTCGGATGGCCGCCCCCTCCTGGATCTCCTCTGGCCTCTGTGCTTGCCTGACCTGGAAATGGCGCCGTGCTCGCCAAGCGTCAAGCCACTCTTGTTTTCCCTCCTTGGCGTTCCCTTGTGGCCCTTCAATTTCGTCGGGCTTGGTGTTCCGGAGACGGCCACGACGGCATAGCCAAGCGCGCACTGACCTTTGTATCCGTAGCGCCGCGGTTGCGGCCACGATCTCCCGCTCCTCCACCAGCTGTTGCTGTCTTTGGTGCTCCTCCAGCACGTTGTTGTCTCCGACAACGGGGTTTTGTCTCTCCTCGCCACAAGAGATGGCAACGCCGGCCTCCTCTGTTGTATGGGCGACGCCTTGGTCCCGGCGTGCGTCTTTCGCATCGTCGCTGCTGATGCTTCCGTTCAGGCTCTCCCCGAATTTAGCGCAACCACCTTCGCCGCTCCTCTCCGAGTCGCTCAAAGAGTTACCCTCAGCGTCTTGTTCGAAATCATCGTCATAGCAAACGCTTGGGGCCACGCTCCTCTGTTCATCGACAATACCCTCCTGTCGTAGTTCCCCCGGGACGATCCAGGGCTGACCTGTGTCACCATCACCACATTCACCACTACTAACCCCACCCACAGGTATCCCTGCGCTCCCCACCCGGCACACACTCGTTGCCACTAACTTCAAACATTCATTTTCACCAGCTCTTGCCTTGGCACCAACGGTGCAAGCGCTCCTCCTAGCTATATCTGTCTCGCTCCTGCTCTCCTCTTCCGCCCCTGGGGGATGTAGAGAGGTTTCCAGACGAAACGAGGGGGCCAATGGATTCGTCATCTTCGTCTGTTCTCCAACTCCGTTTTCGTAAAAGGCGGATCTGTCTTCGACTTCGGCGGTAGAACCTTGTCCTGCCTGGGGTCCCTCCGATTGGCTTTGTGTTTGGTCATGGCCCCCTTCCTCAACTCGTGACGGTTGTTTCTGGCTTCGGACTCCCTCCGTGTGGAGTAGGGGAGCTTGCCCCTTCTCGTCTTGCTCCCTGTCTTCGTCCTCGTCCCCATCCTTGTCTTCCCTGTCTTCTTCCTGGCGCCCATCTCCCTCCCTCGACACTGTCAATCTTTCCTGCTGAGCGCTGTCGGGAACTGATCCTCGGAACAGGCTGGCTCCCGCTGATGTACTCGTGTTTGTCACCGTCGCGGGTTGTTGTTGTTGTTGTTGTTGTTGTTGAAACTGTAGTGGTAACTCACCGCCTGTGAGGGGATCCGGGGGTATCGCGGCGCTATCGGGAACATCTCGCACGGCAGTAGCCCCGCTGCGCCCGTCGTCGTGCTTAAAACTGTCACCAACGTGTTTTGCCGCATGCGTTTTGCTCTCTGCGCCAGGCGGTGGGTTGGTATTGCCGGCAGCAGGCGGCACTGGCGGAGGCGACGAAGACGACCGGCGACGCTTTCCCTTCGGGGCGGGGTTTCTGCTATCCCCTGGTAGCCACCGCAGTAGCGGCACGAAACAACCCTGACGTGGGAGAGACACGCGTGCGATGTTTGACATCTACAATCTTTGCAAACGAACACTCAGATGTGAGCAAAAGCAAGACGGACAGAGCTACCTGTGCGGTTTGAAGCCCCTTCCTGGGCCATGGAAGCGAAGCGACTGACTACACCAGGAAGACGCCTCAAATTATACCTCCTCCCTCCAACAAACACAGCAGAACGAATTCCAGAAGCACTCAGAACAGCTCTTGTCACCTACACATACCGGTGTTCGGCATGAAGTTCTCCACAAGCAAACGTACACATTCACGCATACGACCTACCCCCTCAGGAACTATTGTGACTCATATAATTGCCGCGGTGGTGGGGTACTGTTGGGCGTAGCGGTGTGATCCTGCATTATCCCGCCTCTTCCCTCTTCAACTCCCGATTCGTCACCTTCGTCGCCAGGCGAACCCGTTCGGCTTTCACCCTCCGCTGCAACGCGGCTTCTTGCACGACAACCGCCTCCATGGCGGCTGTAGCCGCTGCCGCTGTCGATTTTAACCGCCCTCGTTCCCCTCTTACATCCCCGCTTTCCCCTCCCGACCGCCCGCCAGCCCCAACAACCGGTGATTGCTCGAAGTAGCGGGCTCGGTACGCTGACACGAGCTCAGCCTTTGGCGTCAGCCGCACGATGGTCGGAGGGGGTCGGAGCACATCACCCTCCGTGCCTCTCTCTCCGTCCGACAATTCGCTTCCGCACGTGGAGCTGTCTCCAGGTATTGCTGATGGTGCAACTCCACCGTTGCCGGACGGAAAGAGGACGAACATCTGGCGGGGAACCGACGAGATGGTTCGTTCGTTTCGTCAAACGCGCGGCAAGAGGTGAGGAGGAACGGCGGACTGAGCGGAGTGTGCGTTGCCGAGCTCTGAAACTCGTGCGGTATACCCCGTCGAATGTTGGCGTGTTATCATGTAAACAAAGGGTGGTCGGCCCTCGCTAAAAGTGCGTGGGGAATCGTCAGTTACACTAGCACTACCAAACACCTGGGGTGGTTGCCCTCGATACCGTTTTCGCGAGACCAAGCGACTCACCATGTCTTCGGCCTCCAAACCCACAGAGGCAAGCAAGCTTTTCCCTACGGGAGAGCGTAGAAAGATGGTGTCCTGCGACATCTTTTCGAGATAGTTGACCCCTCGCCAACAGAACGCTCGCGGCTGCCACAGGTTTGTTCGCCATTCCTCCACCGCGCGAACGACGTCAAGCGAGGCGTCGCGGAGCCCGGCGAGAGAAACCACGACACCTAAAGCATCGGTGTCGAGCCCCCTGTGCCATTGGAATGCCTGCAGGGCTTGCTCGACCTCGCATAGTCTCGACTCTCGGGCATTGACGGAGCGGAGCACCTTGGCCACGTGATGCATTTGTGGTATGTCAATATATCAAGTAATTTGGAGGGATATTCGAAGTGCGTTATTTAGTTTAGCTCGGTCTGTGACTCTCAGTTGATGATGCTTACTCCAATGTTGGCTTTGTATCGCATTTTGCTTCGCTGACGCTCGAGTTCACGATGTCACCCCCCGAACGTTTTCTAGGTAACGAAGTGTCCACTAACAGCCGATTGCGCGATTATTTTTCAACACAGCATCGATAAATCTCTACTACGGTTGCCCGGACGACACCTAATGCGTTCGAAGTCTTAGCCGTGTTTGGCATACAGCGGTACAGTCCCACTGACTTCACGCCTCAATTTATTTGCACGCATGAAGTTCAACACTTTTGAGAGCTCTACTAGATGTTCTGGTTCGGCGGGCTTCCCGTGCTATGAGTATTTTGGGCATCTTTGCGCACTGCTGTGGTGAGCTAGTTCATAAGCACTGGGAGTGACCTGCATAGATCACGTGGTTTTCGTTTTTTGCATCCGTGGCCAAACCTGTACGACGCGCTAAACAAGAGCACGCTACGTCTCAAGCTTCGTACGACAGCATACAGACAGTGGTTGGGTTTTGGGAGACATCGTGGATGTTTAAGGTCGGTTTTATCTCATGGTTGCGAACGAGATAAATAGAAGGAAGGCGTGTTCCCCTAGGTGCATCACATAGCTTCGTAGGGTGAGACGTCGTCGTATCGTACATCATCGTGCGTAAACCAATTCCAAACAACCTAGGGTCTCCGCCTTCCTTCACGAGCCTTCCTTGTTCGTGCGGTTGCGGCAAGGGGAAACCTTCGCGATGACCCAGGGCAATGATCAACATCGGCTATTTCGAGGAGCCTTGGTAGGCACACGGTACAAAAGTGTTTCTCGTACTCTTTTGAGCGTGCCAATGCATACCTTTACTGTGGCAGCCCTGTGCTCGAGAAGAAGGCGTATCTGTCTCGTCAGCTCGCGATTAACATTCTCGTTCGTAGGACCACTGTTACCACCACCACCGCCGCCGCCGCGGACTGGTGGTTTCTCCATCCCACCCCCGCCACCAGCTCTCTGCCCCGAAAAGGCACCACCCCCTCCGCCAAGGTACGCGGCTGTTACATACGCCCGGTCTGGACCCGGGATCTTGAGCTCTTGCCATAGAGCCTGCAGGCGAACTCCCATCCTTCGGATCACCATTTCCTCTGCCTGGCGCTTGGCCGCCCTCGCTCTCGAAGCCGCCAAGCCATCGGAGTTGTCGTCTTCGCTTTGCCTCCTCCTCCGCCGCTTGTTGCTGTCAGAACTGGCAACGTCAGCGCTGCGTACCATATGATGGAGGTCGTTGGTGACCTTGCTGTATGGTCGGTTGCTTGTTTTCTCGTCTTTTGTCGCTCCTGATGATGATGCCCTTCGCGGAAGGGGTAAGGGTGGATGTTGTTGTTGACTCGATCTTCTTCGCCGCTCCGGTGGCGGTCTATTCATTCTCTTGGCGGTGATGGTAGACCTTGCGGTCGTCTCCATCTTACTGTGCAGATTGCGGAAGTACGGACCCCAGCCGTCTTTCGCTGCTGCCATGAACTGCTTTACCGGAAGGTTGGCGATGGCCGAAATGCTGAATTGCATTTCACGGCGGTAGGACAGAGGGAGACAAGGGTCATAGAGGATCGGAGCCGTTTAGGGGTCCGAAGCAGGCGCTGTATACTGGAACACGAGCCTGCACTGTACCCATGCATGTAGTTGTGATCTTGGTTGGAGTCAACGCCCATTGCAAGGATTCTAAACTCTGGAGCACTAGACTATACGGCTGTTGTATGTAGGGAAGCTTCAGACGTAAGGACCTTCCATCCTATGAAGTCTGTCGATACCACTACAAAATTGCTCTCCCAGCAACAGGGTTTGAATGAAGGGCCTACGCTGTGGTGCCGGGAGCTAGCTAGTGTCTATCCTCCCACACCATCGGGGTAGGTTCAAACTGTCAGCTTTCCCCCTCTCTACAGGTCCATTGGTCCATTGAGGGGGAGGAGAAGCTAACCCGTGCGGGTAGCATAGCAATTTGGGCTTCTCACCTAGAGTCAAAATCCGCTGGATTCAGGGAGTTGGCCCGCCCCTGATCTCTGCAGATCTTCAGCAGAACGTCCATATCTTTGTTTACACCAGAGTAGCCATCGTTCATGCTGCTTTTGTTCGCAAGATACCGCACCGAAGATGCGCTCGCCGGGCGTCTACGGCTACGTGGGACTCTCGACGAGTTCGCACGCTGAGGACGGAGACATCCCCCCCCAACCATACAACTGCTGTCGTCTGCTGCGCGTCGGCCTTGCTGTTGTTGTTGTTGTTGTTGCTGCTGCTGCTTAATCTGCCGAGAACGGAGTGCATGTGGATATGGAACGCCGACTTGTACTGCTGCTATCGCACCACCACCTGAACGTCGCCGTCGTGCCTTCCGGTCCCTCTCTCCTGATGACCCTCTATTTCCTGAGAGGCACGATTGACTTTCGACTTCAAAGCCCAAGCTCCCCATCAACTCCTCCCGCAATCTTTCGACGTAGGACATGAGCCGGACATATTATACGCATCAGATCAAGGCCTACCTACGTGCCCCCGAGCCGTCCAAACAGAAATCCTTGCCTAGTTTGATGAGCCTCATTCCAGGAGGAATGTGATCGGTCTTTCCAAAAAAAAAGACTCGAGGTCGTCGGTTTGTCGGTAATTTGCGTAAAAAAAAAAAAGGTCGCTCGACGGTTTCGTATTTATTTGCGGCGAGTTTGGAGAAACACGAGCACGTGCACGTGCACACATGACACATGTGCACAAGACGCAGATCTTTCGCCGCCGTTGCAGCACCTTCTTTTAGCCTGTTACGTCGTACCAGTGGCCTGGTGCGATTATGGGGTCAGCTTGGTCAAGAAAGCAGGCAACCATCCATAGTTCCTTCCAGGCCGCGCCTCTTGCTGTGGCCTCGTGGGACCTCCAGCACGTCAAGATTCTCCACGATCGATTCCGGGTAAGGAGCAAAGCAGTGTGCAACCTGTTGACACAGCCGAGCTGTTCACATAGTGGATAACACGCTGTGCCTACAAGGAGGCAAGAAAACAGCGATGTGTGCACAGTGATGAACTCTGTGCGTGAACATTATGTTCGACAACACTTCAGTGCAGTAGGATGTAGACTATGCATGCGAGCTTCGATGTTGTGCGAACTACGCATGGTCATTGGTCATTAGACTATTTGTGGTCAGTATCACATCAATCATAATGGACGAGCCGGTAACCATGAATTTGATTGTTACAGATGCAGATGCTCTCTGGTCGAATGCCTGCATAGTACTGTACAATGTTGTTGTTGCGCTCTGTTTGTGAGTATATTTGAGGGAAGGAAGGACGACGGAACCCTGCAGCGTGAATTCGGATCGGATATTACCTCGTCGGGTAGACTACGGTAGACTGCGAGCGACGGTTGATGAAATGGGGGTACAATGAAAGAAGACAACAACATTCTACGGATGACAACGGCATGACACGGCAGGACGATGGGTACGAATTCGGCATTGACCGGGTGTCGCTGCGAGATCTCATCAGCTCGGCGTTGCCACTCGCGCGAGGAGTGACGGGTGACCTCTGGGAAATCTACGTAGAACACGACCAGGAGATGCTCTACCCTCTGGAACTGTTTGCCGCCGTTGCTCTCCAGTGCCATGGCTTGTCTAGGTGTGGTGTATCTACAATTTACAGCTGCCCAGTTTGATTGTATAAGAATCCGAGCTATTTCCATGCCCATTTGGGTCCCTGTCGCCCGGAAGGTCGGAGGCTCGACTGGTGCATTTCCTCAACAGCCTTCCCGGGGATCGGGGTTCATTTCTCATGTCGCTGTTTTGACGATGAACACTATCTGTCTCCGTCGATCGGGCCGACAACAATAGCGGCATCCGCGTGATAAAAAAATAGGGACTACCACAGTGGCAACAACTCTGTCTGATGTGCGAGGTGCATTGCTGAAGCTAGGTGTATATCGCTGGTTGTCCGTGCGATGAAACGCGAAAACTCCACTAGAACTCGCCCGATAGTCTATAAATGGAGTTTACGCCCAAGGAGTGTATGTGCGGTTGAAGTGTATTGCCGGGTCGGCGTTTCGTTTCGTGCTCCACGCCTCCTTCGTTCGCAACCAACAGAGAAAAGGCGGGGTTTATGTTCGACATGTTTGACTTTGAAGGCCGACAAGAGGTTTCGTACGACGAGTTAGCCATCTGCATTTCGACCGTCGTGGGAGCACTTTCGAAGGTATGAGTCGACAACCACAAAATGGCAAGGTGACACCGGAGAAGAAACGTCCATCGCGCCTCCCGCGGCACACGTTCGGGTTTGCATGCGGTGTTGGACGCGAAATTCTCGGCAAAAACGGTCGATCAACACCACCCACCATACGCGGCATCAAAGACGAAGGCGGTCCGAAGGGCGTCCTAACCCAATCCAATCCAACCGTAGACACGCTACATGCAAATGATACCCGCCCAGACACCTCCCCGTTTGGACCCGTTGACGATATATGTTCTGTTTGCACACGCACCGCACACACGCCCATCGAAAGGTCTCTGGACCCTGCGGTTTGATGGACGAAAAGAGCGTCGACAAGCTGGCCGACGATGCCTACGTGGTCGCAGGAAAGTACGTGCACATTAGATACGCATCAAGTCCTGCAAACACAAACACCTTGTTCATTTTTATTCGTGACATCTCGTGTATCCCCATCATCATCGCTGTTCCCCGCAAGCTACGTAGTGTTGCGGTATCCATGGTGGGTGTGATGCCCGAAGCTGGGGGAGAAGGGTGGACGGCGAATACGCCACCCATGTACATGCCATAGAATCAATGACACTTATGTCGTGGTGCCAAAGCTTCGGCAGGGCTACTGCACGTTTTGTGCTGAGCGCAAACTCGTCGTTGTTTGTGTAGATTCGGGCGTCTACGAAAATCCTGAAACAACACTGTCGTTCTTACAGTTGTAACGGCTTCAATGGCGGGATGGCTATGCATGTGCAAATCGGAACCGCAGCTCCGTAGACAAGAGTTCATGCTTGTGTACGTTGCCCAGACCCTGACGAACGGCCGCAATTGCACGTCTCTCGCAAAAGGTGGACAAATTTTTTGCACCACCACTGGAAGACGGTCAATTCGTTTTAGACAACAATTGCTATCGAGGTGCTCGAGTGGATGGGGACAGAGATACCACGACGTGAGCTTCCGCGCTGTCATCCTAGAAGTGTTCTAAGAAAGGCTCAACCACCTCTTCCTTCTAACTCGTCTGAAGTCGCTACTCGCATACCAGACAGCGCTTTCTAGATGCCTCACCAACAAAAAAGGCTCGCCGCTCCGAATTAATACGAACAAATACGCAGCGATGCCAGCGTCTCTTTGTCAAGACCAGATTTTCTCAAATGGATAGAGAACGGTCTCAAGATAGACCTCGCAGCCGACGTTACGCTGGAGGACCTCGGCAAGGCTCTGGGGGTGTGGTCGAGCGAAGATCACGAACGGCTGCAGCAGTTGCAGCGGGAGCGGGAGCAGCGGGAGCGTGAGCAGGAACTCGACATCAAAGAGTCTCGAGGAAACGCAGAAGACATCTACACACGGGAAGAAAGTTGATGACGACGACGAAACTCCGAGGCATGAAGCTGTGACGAAAAACGGCTCTCTATTACAGCAGTCGACAAACCAAACACGTTGACAAGCCAAACTGGATTGACTCGTATTTCCTCCGGTTGGTTGCTTTATGAACGGTTCTTCTCCAGGGAAAATTGTCGACTTGTGAGTTAGCCTTCTTGCTAAAAAGGCCACTTAAGCCAGAGCAAAGAGTGCACTCCGCCTGGGGCAAGTCTGCCATCCCGCCACCATCAGAAGAACTGCGACCATTACATCCTGAAGAAGGTTGGATTAGTACGTATTCCGTATCTTTCCACTGACCTTTTTTGAGACGCAACGGTCGCAGTTTTTCCGATGGTGGCGGAATGGGATAGTCATAAAAAAGCAGCGTCCTAGTTTCTCCGCACCAGGTAATAATTTACAGTCTGTATCGCCATCACCCGCACGGAATCATTGAGATACTAGCGAGGGCTCTGACTGTTCATCGCCAGACGCACAAGGCAACAGGAGACAGCAAAACAGATTTCTCTATCCCTACCCCAATCCCCGTTCATCCTTGCAATGGTACATGTTCACTTTCCCTCCCCTGTAGACCCTCTTGCAAAATTGTCGTTACACAACACCTCTATTCTGTACACGCCGCTATTGTCCTCCGTGGGAACAGCAAGCAGCTAAAAGCACGCGACCTCGTAAGAATTTGCGCTCGTTTTGACCGCAAGCCGGTGGCAACACTTCCTCCACAGTCCTTCCACGCTCTTTCCATCCCTGCGCACCACGTAGTCCGTCTAAAACGCAGATGCGTTACACAACATAACCGCCGCCGCCATCATGTCGCTAGCCGCTAGCGACACCACTGCTGTATATCTATTTGACCAAGGGTCGAACCATCGTCATCTACGTCGACAATAACATCGGTCAAAATGGCTGTCGGTATGCCTAGCTCCAACTACGATCAAGCCGGAACGGTCAACAACGGTTGTCGCATCCCTTCGTCAACCCCTGCCCCATCCATGCCCTGCTCCTCGTCCTGCTCCTTCCTCTCGTTCTGGAAACTCATAATCCCCGGGCGATACATCAACAACACGGTCGTCGCTTTTGCTGGCCAACACCGACGCCCTGCTACTTGCCAGTACACTCAAATCCGAGACAACGTCGGCACAGTTCTGGGGATTGTCCTCCGCAGCTTTCACTAGCCCCCCCGCGTTCGCCGTCGATACGTTGTTGTCATCTGCGGCGCCACCTGCTGTGGCCAATACACCGCCCTCGTCTGCGTGCTGGACTTCATCTCCCGCCGCCGGCGCCCGCGTTGGCGCCGGTGTTGGTGGTTCCCAGCGCCGTGGTGATGCGTCGTGGTCGGGAAGAACGTTGTTTTTTGTCTTGTCTAACTTCTGCAGCGGCCACCACGCGACCTTGATGGTTGTTTTGCCCGGGGAAAGGGGGGGTCGGTTGGCGGAACAAAGCTGGTGCTGCCGTGCGTCGTTTGTTCGGTGGTACATAGATTTGGTTGATTCAACGAAAAAACTGTATTCAATTTCTGTCCAATACCCTAGATGAAAAAAAAAAAAACGCATCCACATTGGCATTTCATGAATGGACTCTCCCCTGACCGGCTGTTTTTTTTCTCTTGATCACACGAGGCGCTCATCAACTACCGTTTGGTGAACCATCACCGATTTTCCAGCCCTGGTTGGTGGAACAGAGGGTGCTGAAACTGCACATCGCAAACCTCTGGAGTGTTACAACAGTGGCGCTACATATCGCCAACCGCGCAGATTTTCTGACTCTGATCCTTACCGCAAGGCTAACCAGGCTGATGGCCGTCGCGAGGAAAAATGGAGCTTCTTCGAATCCCACCGAAACTCCTGCGGAGAACACCTGTGCAGTTGATGTTCCAGAAGTGTGTACCCAGCGGCCGAATTTGTTTTCAGGAACCGTCGGAAAAAAGGAACACACAAGACAGGAACTTGCAGCCACAGGCAACCTGTAAAAAGCTAGGAGATACCCGTACAAGGTTCCGTGGTATTATTAGGGGTACGCGCCAGCGTGGACATAAAAATGAATGGGCTTCTATGATTAGTCCGTATCATCAGCTAGCCGACACGTGACCAAAACCTGGACTACGACCAGATACTTTTGGAGTTCACCTGTAAGTGGACAACAAAAAGCACGTTTTAGACTAGACTTGAATACATCCAGTCCGTTTCTTGGTGTGTCAGGAAGAAGTGTCTACATGCGCGGCATGGCCATCATAGAAGGCGACACCCATGAGTGCGAGCGTCTAGAAAGAGGAGCATTGGCGACGCCAACAACCTTAAAAAAAAGACACGCCAAACAAATGGCCGACAAGGCAATGAACAAAAACCGAGCGAATCTATGTGGCAGGAAACGCGACCAGACAGAAAAATTGCTCACCTGCGTGAACACGGGAGCGGCGACCCCCTCCCCAACTACGCGGAGGCTCATAACCGCACCCTGGTCGGGTTATTGTCGCCATTTGCGCGTTGGGGACGAACAAACACGCAGAAATGGCACGGGAGGGGGGGGGAGTAGGGGGGCACGAAGTCAATCAGGTCAGAGGCGCCGGTTGACGTGTTATCGTCGCACGTGCGTCAAGCCCGCTGCAAGTGCCAGGAGTGCGAGGCCCTGGTGCATGCGACAATCGCAGCACCAAGATATACATACACCTGGTAACCGAATGCGTACTACCTAAGCTAGGACACCGCAGACCCTGCGCAACGTTTACTGCGGCGTTCGATGGTCTGAACTCCTCGCTCGATGGACCACCTTTCACAATCAAGGACGACGAGAAACACAAGCAAGGACGCATACCAAATACACATGTATGCAAGGAATTAGTAGTACAGCGGCATCGCACCTGCAAGCTCCCCTGCAGCTCCGACCCGATGAACGTGGCCATGATGGCCTGAAGGCAAGGCTCCGTTATGTTTTGCAGCGCCCCGAAGACGAGCGCGGGGTACAGCATCCACCCCCGGAAGCACAGGCCGGACAGCAGGACAGAGAAGAACTGCGGGGCGAAGAGATATCACACGTGTGGTGGGCAGAGAAAAGAGACAAGTGAGGACGGAGCTCAGTCTAGAGGGGATAGAGCTCGAGCTTCGCCGCAGAACCAACCACCTACTGCTTGTCGTCCTGCTCCCATTCCAGAGAGAGATGCTCCCAACTCCCCCGGAAAGCGTCAACTTTCCAAAACTGCTGCTTGCTTTCTCCGGTAAGCGCTTGTTCGGACGAAACATAGCCCGACAAACAAAAAATGTCTCCACTCCCCCCCCCGAACAGGAGCAGCCCTGAAGCTTTTCAACGGAGACGTAAAGAGCGCGTTATTTACCGCGGATAGAGGCCGCGGCGTCAATGTAATTCCTTACTGTGGTATGAAAGACAAAGAAAAGGCAGCAGCGGAAGTCCACAAAGCATCCAATTCCTGTGACAGGTTGTGCATTCGCTGTGTTCGTCCGTTGAACAGGCCCCCTCAGCAAAACAACATATCAAGTTGAGTGAGCGTCCAGTGCGTAGTAACGCTCGCTGAAGTTGCCTCGTTATTGAACAAAAATAAGAAGCTGTTCCTAAACGTCCTATCAACCCTCCTCGTAAGACCAAACAGAACAGCGTTTTTTTTTTTTATCCTATTTATGCCGGACGTCGGTCCTCACACCTTACACCGTTAGATGCAACTGTTCTAGACGGTGATGAGAAAAACAATTGGGCGCGCGTGACCCTCATGTGAAAAGGTATGCTGGAAAACAAAAAACAGGCAAAAACGCCCCCCACACACTCAGTGCTTACAACTGTTCATGAAAGTGAAAGCACCAGAAAATAAATTAAGTCATACGCAGCTGTCATCC